CAAGGGTACAGCGTCGGACTTACAGTGGAAAGACCGTGACTTAATGCTCCCATAAGGAGCGCTCGCATTTCCTCCTTCCGATGTACACTTCATAACGAGTAATATCTTGTGGGCGATGAAAGAGGAGACTACACTTTATACCTGCAATATAAATAACACAGAAAGGATGATCAGCGACGAACCACGAGCTCCACAAAAATTGTGACAAATAATATTCGTCATTCGGAAGTAAAAGGGGACTGACTTTTTAATAGTTGCAAATTTTCTCTAAATCCGCCATCAGCAATTATAAGATAACATTTGCCGGCGGAAAGTTGCCGGAATATTCTTACTAGCTACCTCAGAACATGTTATATTATTTTTAATTTTGTTAGAAATCACTTTTCATCTCCGACTCACTGATTAGGGCTGCTGAATCGGCAGTGCATCGGATTCATAACCGAAAGGTAATAGTTTCGAGCCTCGGTCGAATCACTTTTCTTTCTTCCACGTTTAACAAATGAGTACCACTCTTTAGAACAGGAGAATGTACGCCATACTTGCCGTATACAGCTATAGACTTTGCTTTTAAAACAAGGCACTCCTGGATGATGGCAAAGAAATGGAAATCAGCTCTGCACATTCATCATCTAACTTATAAGAAAATGAATCATTAAACTGAAGTACCTCACACCTACTTAAACCTCAGGAACAACGCGTATAAACAGCATTTAGAAAATAGGCCATGTGAAATTCGGATTTAAGTGCTAGCTGTTGTTGTTTTGTCATCGTGTTCAGAGATTAGCAGAGCTTAAACAACAGAGTAACCCAGATTATTAATGTTTGACCTTTAAAGATCATATCTGCGCAATGAGCGGTTCAAAATATTCTGTCAAGAAAGCTGACTTGCAGAACCTAGCTTCGACCAAATGGCCTACCTACCTACCCATCCTACCAGAATAAAAAGCATTAAATTTTTAAGCCACTTCTCTATTAGACTCAGGGGCATTTTCGTTTCTGCGCTTGCTACTATTTTTGCAGAGGTACCCTACTGGGTAGGATTAATCAGCGAAACAAAGTAAGTAAAAGCAAAGTATACTGAAACATAAAAACAGAAATTATGTTCAACAAGACATTTGAAATTTTCCACCGTAAAGTCTAAAATGGAAACAAACGGTATTAACATATTATTGGCTGCACTCTACCAAGGCCAAATGGGAACATTAAAACTGCAGTTTGTAGTCGAAAACATATTCATAGGATAAATCATCCTTAAATCGAGTAATCCTATTAAAAATGCTTAATAATACGTCCATAATTCCTTTTATCAATCACTCGTTTATTAATTAATAATGTTACTCATTACGAGCATCTATAATGCTGGTAACAGGGCTAAACCAAAATTGTGAATCCCATTAAATTTGGACTAATAACATCAGCACAAAATAACTGAACGATCATAATGAAAAAATATTTTCTAACGACAACTGGAGAAGAACAAAAACGAGGTGGCATATTTTAGCAGACTCAGAAAACATAACCAAGAAACTAATTCGTTTTAAATGTTATCAGTTATTCATCCAGCCCTGCATCAAAATGGTACAGATGGAGTTATGTAAAGCATCGACTCGTGGGGACTATAACCATAAGTTCAAGTTCGCTATGCTAAGGAACGAATCGAGCACAAACGTGAAGCTACCCGTGTGCAAGAAAGAAACAGGAAATGATACACGGTGTTTGACAGATAGCCACATATACTGTCGTCGTAGTCATCAACTGTCGTAGCCAAATTACAGAAAGCCGTCTGTTTAACAGCAAAAATTCCCTTTTCAAATATCAAACGACTTACAGTTTTTTTCAAGGCATACACACGGTCTTCGATGTTAGGCATGAGGAACTACGAAACCTCAACGACCAAAAACACATTTTACCTCAAAATTTCCGGCATCTTTCGATGAAAAATTAGACAGGAGAAATAATGGTTAATGGAGGAAAGTTTGTCACATTACAAGGCCAATAACAGAACCTGAACCACAATCTTCTCATTTCAGTTCAGTTTATTTAAATGTTCCAAGATAGCAGATATGTCTTCTGATTCCATGGTCATCAGAGAATGCTGACTTACGCTTGTTTGGTCGAAACGCTAAATAGGTGTTAAATAAAAAAACTCATTTCTTGTCTGACTATAGAATCAGGTGACCATTATCGCTTCAAATAATCGAAGGCAGAAAATAGGTATGGGTTCAAGAAGTTATTTCCTAGGAAATACGTCATAGTCAATTGCTCATAAACGGGTAATGCAGTCATACAATTTTCAGCTGAAAGAACTAACTGTTCAAAGGCTCTTCGGTATATTCTGCCACAGTCCCCCAGATTTAGGCATTTGAATGTGAACCGAATGATCGTCTTTGATGAATGAATTACACATTGATTTATAACGCGTGCAACTCTACTTAGACCTTGTGGATAGACACTGATTCTATGTTTATCCATTGTTTGCAAAGATGATGTAATAATAAAAATACAACAAAAAATCGGTAAGTAAATTATAAGTACAAGCAATGCAATATACTTGACGGATATGATATAATCCATCAATGTTTTTGGCTCTGATCAGCGATTTCTAGCAACTGGCTCTGTCCTTAAAGCAAGGTTAAGAAATGCAGATCGAAACATGGAATAGATGTTTATTAATTCGGCAATTAAACGGTAATATACTGTATTTAAAAACCGGTTTATTTTGTCGTTATGCAAGTCGGCTCTGTCCAAATTCACGTGCAAAACGATCTACAATAAAGGGAAAGCCGGGGGTGGCATGGTGAAGTGCATCCGACGTAACGGTGAAGATCTGTTACGAACGCTGGAATAGATGACAGGTTCACGGGTTACTTCATATTTTCAAGGTATCGTCTGAAGGCGCTGACTAAAAAGTTCA